AAAACCCGCCCGCCGACCCAAATTTTTAGATTCCATGTTATGCAAAACGAAAAATTAACTTTGCGTGGCCTAATACAGTAATTTTGCAACACATCAATCAGGCGAATGTCTTCCTATGAGAGTATGCCCCGAGTTTGCAGGTCGTTACACAAGAGATTCAGTTGATTTAAATTTTTTTTTATACGTATTACAATACTTTTTTCGGAAGCTCGGGTAGATTATCCTTTAAAGCAGGCCAAGTGCTTTAAGTTTTCGTGTTGTATCACTCTGAATCACATAACCTTCATCTTACATTTCATCTGCCAAAATTATAAGTAATTAGCAATCATTATGTCGGGAAAATCTCATTCGTTGAGCAAAACAACGTAAAAAAAAAAAACTTAAAATAACGATTAATGATGGTAGTGTGGGTAGGAAAAACTAGTTTGTGTTTTTTTTTTTTTTATATGTATCATATAAAATTTTATAAATAAGTTACCCGGGCAATCAATTTAGATTAGCCAATTAAACGAAAGTCCTTCTATGAGATTTTACCCCAGTTGTATATATCGCGCGCAGGTCCCCTGACATAATTCTGGCCAAAATTAAAATTATAGGATGCGCTGCCTACCTATACTATATTTCAGCCCTAATTTAAGCGCAACTACTTATATTTAAAGGCTCGTGTTTTGTGCAAGTTTTCATCTTTCTATTCGTACTATACAAGAAATTTAAATTTGATTCGGTTAGTGAATAATTGAATAACAGTTAAATGACGTCAAATTTGGTATTCGTAAATTGCACAATCTCTGTTGCTAGGTGGTTGAAGTTACTTTGGACGAGCTAAAAGACTTAAAGTATGACATGGTTTATTTATAAGACCCTAGCATCACTCCCCAAAAAATTCGCTACCAGCGTTAGGGTTAAGTTTGGTATTTTTGTTTTGATTCTTGTTTTGATTCTTGTTACACCTGATCTTGAATTTTAATTCGAGATAACGAAATTCTTTAGAGTGGTGATGATAGGGTGGTTAGGGATTTATACAAGAGATAAAGCATATCCAAACTTAAAGAAATTTTCAATTTCAAAAATATTTTACAAATTAGTTTATTTAGATTGTTTAGGGGTTCTGTGCTTTATTGCGCAGTATTTGATCATGCTAATTATTGTTATGCTAAATGTCAGGAATATTCTATTTATCAGGAATTAAATTTAGTAACTTTTGTTCTCAAATTATTCATTTTAATGATGCAAGTATAAATTACACCTTTGTTCTATGGGTATTTCCTTAATAAATAAAGGCATTAAATCATAAATTTATTTGTCAAAGTTATAAATAATTTATAATGAAATAATAGCTTACTAGTTTTGCTTCGATTAGAGGTATTCGTATTACTGCATTTGGGTATTCCCATTTTTTCCAGCAAATTTTGTAACATTTTAAAGCTTCGATTAAATTTACTTCTATTCCAATGCCATCATAAGAGCAATCACCAATCATGCAGCATGCTATTTTATCTTGCTCTCCAGCTTCTTTGAATAAGCAAAACGCCTTAGCCTTATTTTCTTCACAACCCATTCCATTCATATGCATTATGGCAAGCTCACGCTTTGCTTTTAATACTCCACCACCTGCTGCTAAATTAAAATAACGAAAAGCTTCATTATAATTTTCAGAAATACTAAGACTGTATCCGTAACAGAAGGCAGCCTCATAATAAGAATATACATTCTTTTTCGCGCAACCTTTTTTACACCAATATAAACATTTTTCATAGTCTTTATTTGTCCCAAATCCTTTCATATAAAAATATGCTAGAATTGTCTCACGATGCTCTAATCCTTCAAATTTCATGGTAAAAAATCTCTCCTGAATTTTTACTGTTATTTTTAAGCCAGCTATTTACGTCATTTGCAGTATCGTCAGAATTAGTAGCCATATCCGTAGTATACAAGATTATGAACTCTTGAAACAGATTTGCAATCATTGTATTAGACTCAGAAATATATTGTTCGGTTTTAAGAATATATTCGTCAAATTTTTTGTCAGCCTCCGACATTATGTTGCTAACAATATTATAAACTTCATTTAATTGCTGCCGATTTTCTGGAAATAGATCCCAAGATTTTTTGTAAAGGTTTACATATTCAATGGGTGTAACCGGATTTGGGTCTTCTCGAAGACCGAGAGATATATTTAGAAGAATTTGATGTGTACTTGCGTTTTGGAAAGGTGATCTTCCCGTAGTTAATTCCCAATACAACACACCGATACTATAGATATCCGATTTAAAGGCACACTCATACGTCGGGTTCAAAATACACTGCAGTTCTAAATAAGTGATTGTACCTTTTAATTCGCGTGACCTAGTCCTTGTAACATCATCATTATATAATTTAGATATTCCCAGGTCCATCACTTTTTGGTTATGGATTAGGTTATTTTTTGAATGCTATATAAAAAGTAAAAATTGTCTAAGAATCAATCATTAAAAGCATCCTGTATTAATTTGAAATGTATAATCTTCTCTTTGTGTAAAAATTTTAAGCTGAGTGCAATATCTTTAGCAAAACATATTTGTTCTTCAAATTTTAATTCATATTCATTATTATTATTGAAACTATTTCTTAAATAATCACGTAAATTTCCTCCATTGGCATGTTGTAAGACCATTACATAGTGCTTATGCACAGGTTCTATTAATATACAGTACCGGACAGCAAGAAACATCCAATTTTTTTTAAAAGCGCCAAATTTTGAGATTTATACTCAAATCTGAT